ATAACATTATTTCAGTAATAACAGGAAGACCGGAATTTTGCTCAATATATAGCAATAAGGTCATGCCCTATTACATGGGACTCATAACAAAACTGTTGAAAAATGGTTGTTACATAGTACTTATAAGTAAATTATGATTGATTACTTAGGGACAACCTATGTATGTGCGCAAGACGTACATACATGCAAGTTGAAGAGCTGTAATAAAGGTTTTTGCTAATTTTTCATGTTAAATATTACTTTTAATTAACATTTTTATTTTACTTGCAAATAGATTATAATACGGATATGGATAAACGCTGACGACAGATTTTTATGACCAGTTTCTTCTCAGTTCATAATTTGTAAAATACTTTAGAGAGTTGTAGTATGAAATATTATGATGGTCAGCAGTGGCGCACATGGTGGGCTGAGAAGTGGCAGCCACCTAAACATGTAAGAAAACGCTCGGTAGGCATCGCAGCTGACGTTCACAACGAACGCTTAAAAATAAACTTCTTTCAAGCATTGTACAAGTTATCGACTAAAAGACATAACTGACAAAATTGAGTGTGTGGCTTATAGGGTATTTTAGCTGAACTATTAATTCCCGGCTTATTCACGAAACTGTTTGATAAGAAACTCGACTAGTAGTATGTGGAAGTAACCGTTTCGTGTGCTGCGGAATGCCGCTCATGAATATGAGCCTCTTACATGGTTTGAAAGTAGTCGAGTTCCTCGTCAAATAATTACGTGAGTAAGCCGAAAACATAATAATTAATTTAGCATGTCTCACGAAGGTTATACAAACATGGTATTTTAGCTGTTGGAAAATTGCAATGACAAATAAAATATACTATGAGTAATTTATTAAATATATTTCCTTACATTATTATTACTAACAATATTATTGACTCACAGTTCGGCGCGCGCGCTTGCCTTAGTCGCACGTCTTGCCTATAACCCCACCCAATAAATTCGCATCGCTACTAGTGATGGGAATACGCTCGATAAAAAGTTGTCGACATGGAGCGATTTCTAACACGTTCCAATTCTGTTGGAAAACACCCTCTCGAAGGCCCCGTTAAAACCAGCGAATGGAAAATACCAAAAAGAACTGCGCATCGAGCCGAACAACGCCCAGCTGAGCCAATCAAGACATCCAACAGTTTTGGCAATCTGCCTGGCAACCAAACATTTGCTTCAGACTCCAGCACAAAATTCCGTGATGCCACCGTCGCACGAAAAACCACCCGCATTCCACCCATTGTTTTGGAGATAGAACCCACCTGGACGCACGAATTCATCAGAACCACCATAACGTCGTACTCAAAAAATTTTCACCTGCAGTACCGACGTAATAACCGAGTAGCTGTTATCTCCCACACGCCTGAGAGTCATCAAGCTATCAAGGATGGTCTACGAGCTGAAGAAATTGCCTTCCACACCTACTCACGTAAGGACGAGAAGATGTTCAAAGCCGTAATTTTTGGTCTTCCGAGTTATGTCGAGGATGTACTTTTGGCCGAAATCACATCGCTAGGGTACGAAAACGTCATTATTCGGAAAATGAAAGTGCCTGCGGAAAAATCTTCCTTCTGTCCTCCCTTTTTGGTACAATTACCACCTGGTGCAAATTTTGCCAAATTCCGACAAATAAGGCTCCTTTGCAATACAGTTGTTCAAATTCGAAAATACCGAAGCAACAATCGCTATGGAACCCAATGTTATAGATGCCAAGGATTCGGTCACTCATCTACCAACTGCAACTTAGCACCTCGATGCGTGAAGTGTACAGAACCCCATCGGACTGAAGATTGCCCTAAAAAGACTCGAGATCAGCCAGCCAAGTGTTGTAACTGTGGTGGAAGTCATCCTGCAAATTTCCGCCAATGTAAAGAGCGCGAAAATTATTTAAAGATCCTTCGTGAACGTCAAGATCAACTCAAAGCCGCCAGGACCATGAAAACGCCATCTAAGACAAACATGGTCGATGAAAGACCCTGGAACCTCGTCGCCTCTGCTAACACACAAAAAGCTACCATCACAGATAACACTCAAGATGCAACAACATCCGACATGCTAGCCATATTGATGACGATAAAGACGATCAAAAGTCAATTTATAGGTTGCACCAGTATGATGGATAAAGTTATTCTTATTCTAACACACCTTGGACAATATGTTTGAAACACAAACTTTACGCATACTCTACTGGAATGCTGACGGCATTCGCTCAAAAATCGCGGAACTGATGGATCTGGTAAGCGAGCTTTCTATTGATATCGTAGCTTTGTCCGAGACTAGAATATCCCCCCATAGCAAATTATATGCTCCAGGTTTCTCTTGCTACCGCCGCGATAAGAAGCCTGATGGCCACGGCCAGGGAGTGGCAATCTTAGTCAAGTCGGATATAGAACACTACCTTCTTAATATACCCATAACTCAAAATATAGAATGTGTTGGAATAGAAATAGTTGTATCAAATCGAAAAATTGCCATAATTTCAGCTTATCAGTCACCTAACCTGGCTTTATTACCAACAGACTTAGATAAAATAATTAATGTTCACTCCAAAACTTTAATAATGGGCGATCTTAACACCAAACACCCATACTGGCACTGCACTCACTCCAACATTCACGGCGAGGTACTCTTTGATCACATGATACACAACGAATACGACATCCTTGCGCCTTCGCGTCCCACTTTAGTCCACTATCACAGTACGTATAAACCATCTACGCCCGATATTCTGTTAGCAAACTCTGTCTACCAACTTTCAGAGCCTCAGGTAGTAACTGCCCTTTCTTCTAACCACTTACCTGTTTACTTCACCGTAAGTGGGGCTGTTAACAAACAAACGCGCGTCATATTCAATTACTCAAAAGCAAACTGGAAAGCCTACAGATGTCACATGAATGACTCTATAACCTTAACCCAAAGCACTTTTGATACTCCCCAGGAAATAGACTTTGCACTTGAAAATCTAACCCAATCAATCTCCAATGCAAGAAACAAAAGTGTTCCTAAAATAATCTCTAATAGTGGTAACAAACTTCCACGACGGCTCAGATCACTAACAAAAATTAAAAATCGGTTACGGAAATTGGCACTAGACGAACACAATTCATTCGAGCGTCGTCGGCTGTTCTCACAAGTCAACCAAATGCAGAAATGCATCAAATCAAAGATCCAAGCTCTAAACGACAATGTCTGGAATAATAAATTAGCCAAAATAACCAATCCCACCGCAGACTTGTGGAGAGTGGTCAAATCACTGAACCATCAGCCTATTACAATACCTCCTTTAAAAACGACAAATAATACCACTGTGTCTTCCGCACCTGAACAATGTGAAGCTCTAGCAAATGCCTTTTTAGAGAATATGAACCTAACTAGACACTGGGTCAGTGATTCTGGCACTGAAGAGGCAGTCAAGGATTCGATTAGACTTTTGGACTCTTACCAGATGGATGAGTACCCCACTTTCACCAGGCCGCACGAAATCCGTAAATTATTAGGAAAACTAAAACCTAACAAAGCTCCTGGTTTTGACGGCCTGGGAAATGGTTTATTGAAAAACCTACCTCAAAAAGCAATAGTTTATTTGACTAAAGTTTTCAATGGCTGTTTACGTTCTGCTTACTTCCCTGATGCACTGAAACACGCTAAGATTATAGCTATTAAAAAACCTGGTAAAGATGATTCTATACCATCTAGCTATCGTCCAATTAGTTTATTGCCAAGTATAGGGAAACTTCTTGAAGCAATCATCTTAGCCCGCCTCACGAAAAAGACTGCACATCAATTAATTCCTGAGCAATTTGGTTTCCGTAGCTCACATTCGACTACACAACAACTAGCCAGAGTAGCAGAACACATAAGTGATGGGTTAAACCGCGGCCTTTCCACCGGAATGATTTTATTAGACATAGAAAAAGCTTTTGACTCTGTTTGGCACGATGGCCTTTTGCACAAATTAATGAGATATGAAGTACCGCTCTGTCTGGTAAAACTCATTCAGAACTACCTTAGCAATCGATCTTTCTCCGTGTATGTGGGAAATGATCATTCTGCCCCTAAGATCATCCCTGCTGGTATACCCCAGGGCTCACTCGTAGGTCCGTACGGCTTCATCCTGTACCTGAATGATATACCTAAACAAGCCCATACCCAGCTTGCTATTTATGCTGATGATACGGCAACATTTACGACCGACAAAGACATTGACATCATCACTGGACGGCTACAATATTCACTGGAGCTACTCAGCAAGTACTTTAAAACCTGGAAACTTAAACTGAACTCAACAAAAACCGAAGGCATCTTATTTACCAGAAAACGCATAATTCCTACTAAAGTTGTAACCATCGATGGCTTCCAGATAACATGGCAAGTATCAGTTAAATATCTAGGTGTAATTTTGGATAAAACACTTAACTGGAACAAAAACACGGAACATATTATAAATAAAGGTACAAAAGCTCTAAACTCGTTAAAACCCATTCTGAATCGAAAATCTGTTCTCAGTCCCTCAACCAAATTACGTATTTATTCTGCATTAGTTAGACCTTGCCTAACTTACGGTGCTCCAGTTTGGTCTAGTCTGACAGACACTAAATATAATAAACTTCAAACTATTCAAAATAGAGCCCTAAAAATATCTTATAACACACCATTTCGTACTAACCTTAAAAAATTACACAAACAACTCAAATATCTACCTATAAAAGAATTCATTTTAAAAACATCACGTAAATTTTATTTACTTAAAAATCCATCGCACTATAACAGTTTAATATCAGCAATTGCTAAAAGCAGACTCAGTACGTTATCATACACCCGCACGTACAATCGATATCGACTGCCCCATCACTACTTCCTCCGTGACGTATCATGACGATTGCTCGCTTGCCAGGCGACGCCGCTCGCACGGCCGGTTTATGCGTGATGTTTTTTGTGGAACCACCCGCAACTTACCTCACATTTGTTATAATAGTTGCAGATTTTTATAACAGCTTGCGATTTGTAACTTATATATTTTAAATATTATGTGGGTCCATTCTAAGACTTTCACATACCACTTACTTATATCTATATTCAAGTTAATATCAGTGTAAAATTAAAATTTAATAACAATATGTTCTAATGTTTATAAAGGCGGTACAGCCTGTGTAACGAAATAAATTATGGTAAGTCTACAAATAGAATAAGATCGTTTGTAAACACTGATTGTAATCATATTTAATATTAATAAAGAACTTGAAAAATCAATCAATCAATATTATTGACTATACAGGGTAACATAATAATTAAATGTAATATTAAATATGATGGTAAGTTTTGTCCTTGTACAACATTGGATTATTCATTCCCATGACGCAGTTTTGAAATAAATGTGCTATGTATCTTCAGTTATACAAAAAGTCTAACATTTTGGCCTCCCTGAAACAATGAAAAATGGTTTAAGTATAAAAGAAATAAGATGATAACGTATCTCATTCTAAAATTGAATTTGTGGTCTATCAACTCATTGGCTCAACTCTTATCCAAGCCTTCCTTAACAAATGGCCTATTAAACACAAAAATAATATTCAGATCGAAGCAGTAGATCCAGAAATTAGTTCATTTAAACAAACAAACTTTTCAAGTCTATGGGCGGCGTCGATGCTTTACCATCAGGTGATCTGTTTACTCGCTTAGCATCCTATCCGACGATAGAATACCGTTACCCTAACCCGAGCAGAACCTTAAAGATTAGGCTTATAATATGTAAATACTGGTGTAAAATGATCGTTCAAAAGTAATAAAAATGTTAAGTCTACTTACTCATCACCATAATCATTAAAAACACATATTTTCAGTTGTTTATTGTAGAGAGTGTCGCGAGGGCAGGGTTCCAGAAAATGTTGGGACCGTATCACCAGAGCCAGGGCCCCAACCACCATTAGCGAGAAAACAAACAATTTCACCAGCATCCTGACTGACCCACGACGCAATCACGGAAACACTGGTCTTATTTTATTCTGCTGCTTATTTTATACGATTATTATATTTTGAGTCATATGAGGACAAATAAATATTTATAGAGTTAATTAAAGTTTAGTCACACTATAGGTACTATCAGTGTACTATACGCTCGTTTGTAATGTCTTATTATAGAAAGTTTTGTGTGTGGGCGACGCGTTACTGTGATCGCTCACCAACAGGTCATCTGCCTACTCATTTACTCTTTATCCAAAAACCTTAGAAGTCAGATTTAACCGCTATTTGGCTTTATTGGTAATTTAATTACATGAATGGGTGTGTGTTAGATTAAGTATAGTCTAGTAAATTTCTACTATATAACTTTGTGTCTTTTAAATTTATTTATACCCCACGGAGAGAATCATGGCGCCCTGGGATTACCAATGATAAAAAAAAGGTTACAAATTGGCTTAGCCAATTTGTAACCTTTTTTTTCGGCTACCACCGGACCAAGTCTCAGGGCAGAACAAGAAACTCTCAAGTAAATTTTATCATTGGTAATCCCAGGGCGCCATGATTCTCTCCGTGGGGTATAAATAAATTTAAAAGACACAAAGTTATATAGTAGAAATTTACTAGACTATACTTAATCTAACACACACCCATTCATGTAATTAAATTACCAATAAAGCCAAATAGCGGCACAAATAACATACATTCAGACGATGATCAGCTGATCATCAAATCATGCACCTTTAAATATATAATTATTACACATTACCCACTTATTTTCGTTAATTTTAATACAACTTTATCTGGAAGGAAGTGGGTAATTACACATATGTAACAAAAATTCCAAATATACATGAATAGCAATATTTTACTATAGATTTAGATTAAAGACAGCAAAAATAGCTAATCTGTAACAAACATATCACCTTCGCAGGATGATTGTCAATACCCCTATAAGAATATACACTTAATAAACTCTGTTACTTAACTTCTGAGACAGATTTCCGGCGTGCCAGCACTACAACAGAGGATCTGGTGTATGACTGTAAGGATCTGCCTTCATCCGGTGACCTCGTATAAATCATGAGTATCTGAAGCCGTATTATGATGCTCCAGTTTGACTTCACGGGTAAAACGATAAATCAATTGATTGTCTACAATGGGGTAGACATGGATAAACTTTCTGCTGATACAAAGAGTTTTCTCCTGGTATAAAGAATTTTCTTCTGATATAAATATTAAATTTCCTTAACAACAGAAATACAGTTACAACAAGATTTAAGGAAGTAAGTGGTTTATTTCTTGTCCCCCTGTTTCATCCATCTGTTCTCCTCGATTCTGATGGCACCAAGCTTTACCTAGCTTATTGCACTCAGTCCATGGACTGAGTGCATACATCGCCAGTCCTTCTTAAATCTATTTTAGAGTTTGAAAACAATGCGATTTTGTATGCTTTTTGTGTAATGTGAAAGATCCTGAGTACAAAGTCAAAGATACACAGGTCTCACTCAAGAAGGCCAAATATTAAGAGTAGGTAAATAGAAGCTCTGCCATTATGTTGAGCTAAATATTGCCAGGTTTCAAGAAAGAAGTCTGGTTATTTAGTCTTGCTGTACCCCTGAGCATTAGAAACCACTTGAAGCAGTCACTCTTCCCAGTCCTGCTAGATTGCCGTGCGGCTCATGGGAGTAGCCAGGGCATAAACAGTACACCTTTTTGTAAATTAAACATTTCATGCGCAGTTGTCATAGTTAAGGCTCAAGTTAGGAAATGTAGGTAGGTAGTGATAGAAAAAGAAAAGAATAGTAGAAAGAATAACATTTATTCATACAGACACAACTTAACAAACCATTAAGCAATTAGTAAAAGCAGATAGTGCCAGTTCAGCAATTTACTAGATAGTGTCTTAAGCAAGAGTTGCGCACTAGTGCCATCTATTGAGCAAAAATACAGCAGCTCCCAATCCCTCATTGGTCTGGCTGTTCGCGCGACAACACATGCGGGCTATAGTATGAAATAAGTGACAATCAGAGGATGTTATTAAAGAGGCCCACGTCTAGTAACCACTCGCAATACAATGTTTAGGAAATAAATAAATATTGAGTACTTCACATTGCCAATATGGTTGTATAACAAGAAACATCAATATGACGGAAACTAAAGAAGTATGTGGTAGCACTAACGATGCAGTGTCTTGTTCGTTCTTCTCCATTCGAAACTACACTTGGAACGAGCGCCTAGCTTCACTGACAGATAGACGTGCCTACTCTAGGAATAGGTAATATATGACTATAACTGAATTAAATAAATGCTTTGACTTTGATTTTAACTTATCGACACTATACTTCCTACATACTCGCAAGAAGGAAAATCCCTTCATTAAGAATTGAGTTCATGAATTGGTTTCGTTTTGTTTGTTTGTGTAAGGACTAGGACGATTTGCTCTATAGTAAAAACTGTTATATAGATATAGATATATAGGTTCTCCTCTAGACTAAAGCGAGTATGGTAAGGAGAAGCACAAAACTACTGGCCGCAACCCCGGTGGCACTGTCAGGCGCGTCTGTGGTCGTTGGGGCGTCAGTGGTTGTTGGATCAGGTTCTGTTACCAGCGAGTCACCAGTAGTGAACTCATACATATGATCCATTACTGCCCTCCTTACTCTGACTAGCTCTTGACTGTCAAGGACTGATGGCCTGGAATATTGATAAAAGAATATTAGTTATCATAAAACTATAGTAATTTTTTTAACGTTGGCCCACACTAGGGTTTTCTCCTGTGTCGTGGATGCGGTTACAAACATACACATGACACCCAGACCGGGGACAACAATCTGAGGATCACACAAACTGTTGTTTCGTGCGGGAATCGAACCCACAACACAAGTTGTGTGTGGTGGTGTGATACAAGAATAAAACTGTAAAATCAGTTTTGATGTAATTTGATGTAATTTTCATTTATGCGACATCCGTAAATTAGACAACACTGTCTATGTCTAATTTACAGAGCTTTTGCTTCTAGTTGTTATACACGGATTGAAGATTGTCATCACGTTTAAGTTTAGATATCTAATAAATATTAAAATGGCATTACGTTTTCTGAGTCGCAAATTGCTCCATGTGAAGTACTGACATTTAGCAGAATTAAATAAAAATCGCGGGTTACTCAAGTGAAATACTGAGAAAAGTTCGAGCCACAAAGAGGTTCTTCCTCATGAGCAGCCTACTGCGCTGCTATCGCCGCGACCTTTCGTCAGTATACACAATTCATACACATTCCCATGGGTCGGTAATAGGTTATACGATTTCCTTTAAGAAAACCTATTACCGATCTACTTGTACTTTTACGACGGACCCCATACTGCATGTTTTTTTATTTAGTATTTAGGCACGCAGGCATCGGTTAACGAAGACTTGAAGTTGGCGTGAGATGTCTTTGGTCACCTTCCACGTTTCGCACCCATAGAGCAGAACGGATTTTACACTTAACCGAAGACTTTCAGTTTTATCCTTCGGGTCAGTTTCCATGACTGCCACACAGGTCTCGGGTAGCTCGGGTTTTGGCGATCCTTGAAGTGATGTCCTCTACAGTACCTCCAGTCTCTGACACGACGCTCCCGAAATAGAAAAAATTGTGGACACGTTCCACTGCCTCTGTGCCAATCAACAACAGACAAAGGTCATCGGCGTAATCCTAATCTTCCAAGAAGTCGGATAATTCCTACTCTATCCCGCCGTCGAGTCTCCGTGTTGATGTTACCAAGTGTCGCCGTAGCCGACATGCGAAAGACCTCCTCACAGTGTTGACGCCAGCGAAGCAGCTGCCCTTCGGATGTAGCAATGAGCTGATCGTCTTTAGACTTCAGTAGTTTTTTCTTCCTAAGCTTGATGTTACCAGCGTTTGCAGCCTGTTGAGCGTGATCAGCAATAACGTCAGTCCACTGTCTCCTATCTTTGCGGGTGCTACGATAGAATTGTTTCCGTTTCTGACGGTCCTGTGCGTTCAGGTCGGCTCTTATAGCGTCATCCTGGGCGTCGAGCAATCTCAATTGAAGCCTTTTTCTGTCCTCAATCAGACTCCATGTATGGTGCGACATCCACTTTTCGTCATTGGTTATATATTATAGTTCAATGCTGGTAATTTGTTATACATAATTCGTATAAATATGATATCTTTTATTGATTTAACGCTGTTAAGAATATACTATTATAAGAATACATTATAATTGTTAAGTGTTGGATCATTTATATAACCAGTGCAATATACACGAGCATTTAAATATAATTTTAACGGTCCCATTTATTTAGTGGTCGGTATTAGGTGTCACAGAAACGGTATTAGGCACATACCGATGTTTTGAGTCGGTAATGGGGACATGACCCTTTTTCCTTTTATTTAATTTTCTATTATTAGGTAATTCTTTGATTGTCTATTCTTCTACATAACTAAAAAATTCGATAATTTCAGCACTGGAAAAAATATTTTTATTGTAGCCACTTATTAAGAATGTGCTTATTTTTTTGATATCAATCTGAACTGTGCTTAAACTGGCGGTAATGGGTACGTTTACGTTATATATGTACTGTTTCGAACGTTGTATACTTACGCAATAACTCTGCAGTGAGAGATGTTAGGTACCACGTAGACCGGAGCGTTGTGGTGGGAATGGGACTCGTTGGGGCCCATTGGAGACCACGGGTCGTGGGTCCCAACGACTGACACCACGCGGTCTGGCATATGAGACCAGCCCCCAAACAATATGTTCGTGCGTTCGATTCCGGCCCGAAGTCTTTGTTCATCGAAGCTGTTAACAGAATGCAACAAATACATAACTTACATCATAACATCACGCTTTTTATGCCTGAAGGCGGAAGGATAAAAGGCGTATTAATATGCATATTACGGCACTTAATGCCACTGTACAATGTAACACCCACTTTTCACTATTTATGTTATGAGCTCCAAGTAATAGGGGGTGAGTCTATTTTACAATAGGCTATACCGGGCGCAATTCCAAATTCCGTGCTACTACTGAGATTAAATAAAAACCCAGTAATATTTTGCCCGCCCCGAGAATCGAACCCGAGACCCCTTGCTTGGCGACTGCCAAGCAAGAGTCGTAAGCACTTACGACCACTCGGCCAACAAGGCAGTCAACCATGTAACTTTATAATAATAAAGATTGCTGCTGCCTTGTCTTCTCTGACCAAATTAGGCTGATTACTTGTGGTCTACTCTGCCATTCCAGTACCACATTGTTTCACGGCTTCCAACTTCATGGATTTACGTATATCTTTTTTTTAAGGGGGGAAAATCATCGAATGACTGCTCCCGCCTGGGTGAGGCGGGAGGGAGTGTTAGACTCTTACTCTACTAAAAACCACCCCGTTCCTACTCCTGCACTTCGAGCCGGAGCCCCGGCAACCCGTAAAGTCTATATCTAAGGCTGGTTTTCTAGCGCTGACCGCACGCTGACCGTCGGCGCTGACAGCGGAGATTATGATCTTCCAGTCATCGTGCGCGCAGATAGCTACACGTCAATCAAAAATGCTTCCTTCCATCAGCGCTAACTTTTTCACTGTTCCTGTGGGAATTCAGGGAGTCCCTTAGTGCTATCCTACACACCCCAAAGAACATACATGGGAAGTTCCAGCTGTCTAGGTTCAGCAGTTTTGGCTGTTCGTTGTCTGTCAGTCAGTAATTATATTAGTCTGATATAAACGAAATGATTAGATTTTTCCTCATTTCCGCACTTCCTCCGTCCTCTGCGCAATCGACGATAAAATAAATGTTTTTATTTAATTAAATACGTCGGTGGTAACAATGATCTCGTTGTTAAACCACAAACAAATGCGTCAAGCGTATCTATTATACATAACCACAACTATTATAACTTAAATAACTGCGTATTTAATCATGAAGTTAAACCTAACTGCCGGGTCTTGGGTAGGTACCTACTACATAGTACTCTGTACGACTCTGATACTCCTTCTCCCCTCACCATAGAGAAGATGAACGCATAAAACGTACATAGAAGTGACGTCACGCGACATTTCAAATCAGTATATCGTTGAAAGTATTTGCTTCAGTATACAAGAAATACGATTCTAATGTTTTGAAATAATATAATATCAGACGGACATTAAAATGTATAGTCATCTACTATAAATGCGAAAGAAGAGAAGCACGAGTGGTTCATTCGTCAAAGACCATTACAAATAGACTAACTAGCACAGTTTTTCCATTCTCAGTCATTACGTCTGAGATTTGAAAAGAGAAATAACCTCTGAGGTTCTTAGGTAGAGGAGAATAAAGTCAATACGTCTACCTTTTGTCTTCTACCGCGGCTGTCATGATAACCGACTACAAAATTAACAGAGATGCAGCAGAGCTTTTTAATAAGCCTGCATCTTTCAACTCAGAGATTATGGCAAACCCCTCTAATGCAGAGGCGGCTTATAGCCGTGGACTATAGTAGACAACAGACGTGTATCTTGGGGACTATCTAACAAGAGGTTTTTATGTCTAGATAATTACTGACCCTGTCAAATATGAAACGTCTAATAGTGACACCAGTTAATTCCCTGTTGGATGAAGAATGATAGTATCACACTAGCGCCATCTAAAAAAATACAGTAGTCCCCTATTACATTTATACGACATTTTTTTTTATAGAGGTAGAATCGTCGTCGTCCTTGGATTCCTGAAACACCAGAGGCGCTAAAAGTGCGTTACCGGCCTTTTGAAAATTGGGAATTAGAGAATTGCTGGGGGATTCAGGGATTGGAGAGACTGGGGAGGGGGAGCGCCCGGTAACTTCGTTCACATGACGTCACGTAACGTCGGTGTTTTGCTCGGCCTGGTATCACTCCGGTCAAGCTGACCCATTCGTGCCGAAGCATGGCTCTCCGACACTTAAAACTTGCAGTTGCTAGTATTTTTTTTCTTAACTTCTCAATACTTACTCTAATTCACTATTAGAGAAGATATCCTTGCACAGCTGGTGATAAAATTCCAATGGTAAAGTATCCTTGAACGGATGGTTCGAACCCCCGGTGGTCTGGTACCAGCCGTACTCCACACACGTCTGGTGCAACCAAAGACGAACTGGAACATAAATAAATTGTCATTAAATACAAAAAAAAAACTTAATCGAGCCTGCTCGACTGGTTCCAAAGCAAAAAACTGGGGTTTATAATTCTAATTATGCAGATCACAAAGTAAAAAAATATGAATAGTTTTAAAAATCGTGTATTTGTGTGTGACTTGCGATTTCCGAGTAGTGTTTTATAAAACACAGAAATAGACACAATAAACGTTTTGGCTAATTTATCTATACTAATATTATAAAGCTGAGGAGTTTGTTTTTTTGTTTATTTGTTTGAACGCGCTAATCTCCGAAACTACTGGTCCGATTTGAAAAATTCTTTGTGTGCTGGATAGCCCATAAAATATTATGCTACGATAATAGGTGCCGAGCAGAGCGCGAGAAACTGCGTGGAAGTAGCTAGTAATAGATATGGCTAAGTTACCTAAAATTAAGTTTATTTCTTCAGTTTCATAGTTTTTCTGAGAAAAAGCTCCCTATGACGGTATGCAGTAGTAACTTTAACTGTTCCTGGCACCGTTCAAATCTCTGATGAGTTCAAAGTTAAAACTTGTGTTAGCTTGAATGACAAAAATGTAAGCTTACTAACTAGACTTTTTTTTACAGAAAAATGATACTTTGATAACTAGGAATGCTCTCAAGAGTTTACAGTAAAATACCAAAGAACTGGGAATTATTTTCCTAGCTCCGGCCGCCATGAATAGGATATTGTTGTAAGGCGGTGGCGCCATCTGCATTGTAGATGCCATGCTAATTGTCGCGCCACAGATTATACGCCCGACTCCGTAGACACACTGTCCTACAGATTGAACAACTTGTTGGTAATTATTATTGTTGTCAATATTTTGCTGTCTCGAGTCTGCTGGCAGTTACCGATCGAATGATCGTAAGTGCAACTGCCGTACAGGTTACGTGTTCGATTTTCGGGTTGGGGAATGTGTAATTTGGGGTATCATTGGTTTTTCTGAAATGTGTCAGTAAAATCACGCAGTTACACACTGTGTTGGGTAGGTATAAACTGCTGGGAAATGGATGACTTAATTATTTACATACAGGTGAACTTAAAAGTCTTTCTAGCCTAAACGGCTGCATCGATTTTGATGGATTTTAATACTTACAGATGTCGTTCTTGCAGATATATGAAATGAAATAAATTATTATTTAACGATGCAAGCAGTACGGTTATTAGCTATCTATTAACAAATTAGTACATAACGATCGAAGGAAAATTATTTCGAAATTAAGTTGTCTATAAATCACGCCTAGTTCGACAATGTGTCCATCCCTGTGTCGTCGGCTAGTCGTGGGGATGTCGTGTCGTTGTTGTGTCGTCGCCGTTTGATTTGCAGATGTCTGCAGCTGTGTCGCTGCCTGTGCCTGCATTATTTAGCGACTCATAACTACTTTCGTTGAGATATTACTACAGGAGACATGTTCACAGACGTAGGTAGAGACAAATTTAATGTAGGTATAGTAACCGGTTCGAATCATTCTTTTCTTTCATTTCTTATTCTTACGTTAATTTACGTCTTGCAAGTAGAAAATATATGATTAAAAGCCATGCAAATTGCCAACCTAAGCACCCATAGACATCACTAGCAGTGCATCAGCAGTCCAGGAACAAGTGGCGCTGGCCTTTTAGAGATTTGGAGATATGGGTACTTGAAGATTTGAGGATTTGGGGGATTTTTTTTAAGGGGGAAATTCATCGAATGACTGCTCCCGCCTGGGTGAGGCGGGAGGGAGTGTCAGACTCTTACTGACTAAAAACCACCCCGTTCCTTCTCCTGCACGTCGAGCCGGAGCCCCGGTTACCCGTTAGGTTCTCCGCGACAAGGATTTGGGGGATAAGGGGTAGCCGCGGCTGCAGACGACTTAATAGATTACCGGGGCTCCGGCTCGAATCAGGAACGAGACTTTTAGTCAGTAATAGTCTAACACTCTGTCTCGCCTAATCCTATGACGGGAGGAGTCATTGGCTGATTTTCCCCCTCAATAAGAAAAGAGGGTTAAGGATTAAGTATTTGGGATGGATATGGCGGATGAGGGAATACTGAGTATGATAGAAGTAGCTTTGTACTTACTCGTAGAATCTGGTGACGCGAAGCTGGTGTTCCTGTACAGCGCGACCGCCTCTAAGTAGCGAGTCTCCACACAGTTGTTCCCTGCAACCAGTGCAGCCAGCCGTCTTACGGCATCGGCTGCAAATGAGATTAAAATTGTTACTTATTTATTTTATAACTTATTCTTTAACGATGACATCAAATAAAAGTAAAGAAACAACAGCTTTGAGTACAGTGACACGTGGAGGTAATAAAAATAGTGGCATTTTACAAAATTAAAAGACAATGAAGGTGGGACAGCCATGCTTGGGCACGAATGGGCCGGCTCGACCGGAGTGATACCACGGCCGAGCAGAATACCGATGTGAAACAACGCTCGCGTTGTATTTCGTCGTGTGAGTGAGGTTACCGTACCGGAGACCCAATTACCCTCGAACCTTTCCCAATCCCTGAATCCCCAACAATCCTCCAATTCCTAATCCCAAAAAGCCGATAACGCACTTGTATCGCCTCTGGTATTCCAGGTGTCCATGGGATACACCGATTGCTTACCATCAGGTGATCCGCCTGCCCGTTTACCGGTTTATCCCATCAAAAGTTACTTACGCTCATTGCTTGAAAGAAGAACGTTGCAGGAGTTTGCGATTCGATTACCGGTGGCGTACTGCACCATGACAGCGAAATAATTGATGATACCGCTACTGAAGAATGTGGCGACATCTAGCGGAGAAGCCGTGTTAATTGGCGTACACGTCCTGGTTAAGAGAAATGGAGAAATATCTCATATTAGACTTTTGACACAATCCACTGCAATAATTAGATTAGATATAGGAAATATTTTAATCTAAGCAAGAAACTGGTATTGGAGGGTCAACGCCAGTTTTAACATTAGACATGATTAAAACTACATGATGGCAGTAACCAGTATTACTGTAGCCACATGTCGCCGATACATGTGTGTAGATTGTGTACTAGTGTATCCTTGGCTTGATAATCACAACTATTTTTGTTTCACGTCTTTCATCAGATCACACTTCAGTCGAAAGGTTTCATTAATTGACATTTTTGGAACTTCAGAAGACTATAAAAGTTACTAACTGGAATATCTCGGAGACCTGGGCTGCCCCCGTGGGTGTGGCCAGCAGGTCTAAGACTCCCTGGACTCCTGCAGCGACAGCATCCACGCACTGCTGACCTCCCTGCTCAGCTAGAGCTGTCGCCACCACTTCCAGGTATTCTAGAAGAGTGAATATTAGTTAATAATAGTAGTTTCGTAGTTTAACTTAAGAGACAGCAGCATCTGAAAGATTTTTGGTGACATAACAGTGATCCCTGATGCATGGTACACGATTTAATTGCGCAGTTTTAACTGTCCAGTCGATCTGTACGCTCGACACACCTTCGGTTCAAACTGTTCAAAATATGTTTGCACGTTAACACCCTACGATTGTAATCTACAAATTATCTCTTAAAAATTTGTATATCAGAGGGTTAATTACGTTTATCCATACATAACCCCAATCAATGAAAGGTCAAATAAAAACCTTAATAAAGTTTCCCAATCAATGGATCAACCCCAAGGTCCCATACCTAGAGACCTCTATTGAGACAAAAAACCCCCATGAGGATTTAAGGAATAAACAAGCTCATTCCGTAAAGATTAAGGTCCATTTTGCTTTTAACAGTGAGTTTGTTGTGTCGATAAAGTGTAGCTAGTCTGTTACCTCCCCTGAGATAAGGGGGACGAAGTAAATTAGTCGCTAATCGGTTGGACGAGTACACTCGATTAGGGAAACTCGTCCCGAAGGTGTTTTGGGGTCTCCCTGCTAATGTAACTATTTTTTACAGGTACAAACAAATTTTCGAAAACCGTTCTATAAGATAAATGGAGTAAAAATTGTCAAGCGACTTCTTATCAAACATTTTGTTAAATGATGTATTGAAAACTGTTGTGCGTGTGAGCCAGAGTCCTACTAGAACACAAATGTGCGATCTTTGCGTAAACTAATTTACATTTTTAGTAATTTTTGACAGCAAACTAATTAACCTGCTTGTCCCGTATGTTCAATTTCTATAGAGTTATACATAGACCATTAAACCTTTGACTATCGACAGCGAGCTTAGGCAAATCCTTCGCTAAACATCGATCCACCAGTGATGACAATTACTGTACCAGTGCGGTAGCTGTTAGCATGTTCAGACGTACGATAGAATAGACGAATGGATGAATTGTAAATGCAGAGTTTCCGATTTTCTTGTAGTTCTAACAATTTGCCTCGTTAAAAATAAATAACAAATCTGTCTCGTTGTCCCATCAACTCATGTCATTCACTTCACTAACAACTACTCATTGGCAGAGTGGCGACTGCCTCATTGCCTCATCTCACAATTAATAACTGTTTCTTCCTCATGCATGCTTTGGGTAATAATTATAAAATCAGGTAACAATGATCGGATGTCTTTGTGTAGCTCATAAAAATAACTAGACATCTTTCACTGCCTCGTTGGCCGAGTGGTCGCAAGTACGACTCCCGGACAAGGGGTCTCGGGTTCATTTCCCGGGTCGGTTAAATATTAAAGGGTTAAAAAAAATCTCAGTAGTAACATGGAATCTGGTAATGTGCCCGGTATCTATATGGCAATGGGCTCACCCCCTATTACATTGGACTCATAACATAAACAGTGAAAATATCCTTTTCACTACTGTTACATTGTACGATGGCAGTAAATGTCGTGATGTGCACCTCTGCCTACGTCTTCGGGGATTAAAGGCGTGATTATGTTATGTTCTAACAATTTATGGATCATTTTAATAGTGGTTTAAAAAATCGATGCTAAAACCGATTGCTTACTGTGACCTTACCTGGGAATTCCTCCTGAGCCTGTAAGGGTGCACTGTCGGAGAAGGCAGCGTTCACCAGGTGAGGGTAAGCCATCCTCATCCAAGTAGCCATGGTACCAGCGTACGAGCAGCCCACGAGAGCCACACTCGCGTTCCTGAACACAATCAGACATATTAGATGACATTACCTAAAAATTGATACCCCTTGAAAGTAGTGATGGGGTAGTCACATCTGTTGGAGTTTAGTACATACCCTGTACAAAGAGCTGATCTCAGTATATATTAGGAAGTGAAGCTATATGCTTTATTTGTCAGTATAATAATAACAATATTTTTTGACGCGTGCACTTCGCACGCTCAACCTGATTTCTAATGAAATCGACCTATTTTGTTGTACTCTGGGTGAATTCACAAGGAAGGCATTATATGTAATATGCTATAGGTAGATAGTAAGATGAGCGCATTTATCGCATTGGGCATTAACCTGTAAAGATAAATGTAAGTGGAATAAATAAATAAATAAATAAATTTTAATAAATCCTTTTATTATAAATGGGAAAGTAAGTTTGTTTGTTTGTTTGTTCTGCTTTCGCGCCGTAACTACTAAACTGATTGCTTTCAATTTTTGCAGACGTAAAGTTAGAAGTCCGGATTAAATAATAGGGTATTTGTTATCTCGGAAAAATTTGATATTTCCGAGGGAAAACAAAAGTATTGGTATAGATGGCGCTGTGTGTAATGGTATATATCACATAGGCTACTTTTTATCCTTTTGTGAAGCGACCGAAGCCGCGGGTAAAAGCTAGTAATTATATAAACTACTTAATTTAGCATTTACAAACCGCACTGACATTACAATATTGATGATATTTTTGCAGTACCTACTTAGCTAATTATTAATTGTAATAATTTTGGTCATATTTATAACTGTGAGGAAAATTAACTAGATCAATTATGTTATAAATTTTAATATGTTTGTGTATATGACCACTGTCATGGATATTTAATTTTTTGGTGTGAGGCAGCAAACCAGCAAACCAGCAATCTAGAACGCCAGAGGTGTAACAAATAAGTGCGTCGCCAGTCTTTTGGCATTTGGGGATTGAGGGGATTAGGGAGTTAAGGAATTGGGCCTCATTTAGGAAATGATCACGATTCACAGACATGAGTATATAACTATTTCATTAATTATTTTTGTACATTATCAGCACAAGGTCCTTTGTAGCCGTGGTACTTAAAAGAAACGGAGTACCTTCGAGCTAGACATTTATTTACGTCAGACCAGTAACCTTATGTTTTGTCGGTAAGGAAACCCTTGCATTAAAATCGGCTAACGCCATCTATCGAGCTGTAGGATAACTCACAAAAATTATTTTAAATAGTAGTATGACGTTTGCCGAGTGTATCTTTCCAAAGATTACCTATTTCTGCATTGAATTGTAATGGTTTTTAGTAAGTGCCTGTCAGAATAATCATAGTAACTCTACATTACGCGTAATGCTATTAAGTTTGAATTATCAATAAATATAAGTAGGTACTTTAAATGACTTTTATCATTCATTTTAGCTATTTAAATATTATAACAACGTCAACAAGGCACTATATATTAGTTAAATACAAAACAATACTACAGAATACATGATAAAGTCTGAAAAAATAAACTGAATAGGTAGGTATTGTTAGTTAAATTTTAGCTCAATTTGCGTCATTCGATCGTCATTCTGTTGCATCAAATCAATGAGTTTGCGTATTATATTCCTTTAATTGATAAACTCTATAATGGAACTAATTCATGGAATTATGAAGTTATCATTTTGCTTCATATAAACTGGACTTTGAGTTTTCATTCATCAAAGTGCCAGTAGGTAAATATCTACCTACGTTTTGTGGTGTTTCTGCTAACTGGTCGTAATCTTGTTTATTAATTTACGTTATTAAAGTAAATAGGTACTTGGCTGTAAGATGATTTCCAAAGAAATCCTTAAAGTATTGTGAGTCCGTCTTAGCGTTAAATATAGTCGTTTAGTTTATTACTTTGATCTGACGATTCTATCAAACAGGGGCGATTACGCGGTGAGATAAATATAAATTAATTTAGTACACGTAAATTTATGGAATAAGCTGTTAAACGAACAGACGGATCACCTAATGGTAAGCCAGGAAGGCAGGAACACCAGAAGCGTTACAAGTGCGTTACCTGCATTTTAGAGATAAGGAATTTGAAGATTGTTGGATTTAGTGATTGGGGCATTTGGGGTGGGGGGGGCGGGGGTTATGCTCCGGCCCGTTCGTGCCGAAGCATAATTTGAAACGAATTGTAATAAACAAATGAACGTCATTTGTCCGAGTTTGTTGAATTACTACCTACCAAAGAAGAATAATAATGACAGAATGAGGAGTTTTCTAATAGGTCTACTATCCCTTACCTGTAATGTCCATCTTCAAATGCATCACTCTTGACATGCTGTATGAACTGCGCCAGGTCTCCCAGCGCCTGGTCGATGTTCAGGAATGAGAGGTTCTCCACGCTCGAGTCTCTGTAAGTGTGATAATCAGAGTTTTAGTTAGCATTATATACTCCTACTTATTGAGGGTCCTGGTGGTCCGGACTTTTAAGACGCCTGCTTTTCATGCATGTCGAGGGTGCGTGGTCGAAACTTACCAACAGCAAGTTATATGTACTTTCTAAGATTATTTAGACACCACTGACAAACGGTGAAGGAAAACATCGTGAGGAAACCTAAGCTTATAATTTCTAATCATAAGTTTGAAATCGCCAACCTGCATTGAGCAAGCGTTGCGATTATTGCTCAAACCTTCTCCGTGTAAGAAGAGGCCTTCGGTCAGCAGTGGCCACTTATAGGCTGTTGATGATATACTCCTATAGTTATGGTATTTAATTGAGAATATAACAGGATATATTATTCCTTTTATTGCCTGAAAGTATTGGACCCGATCCTTACCCTTTTTGATTTGGATCGAATTTTGATGTTAGTTCTATTAGATTTCTGTTAAAAGTCTAGATCGATTCAGTGATTTTAGGCTAGGATATTATTAATTTGGTAATACCTTCTATTCTCCAGATTTTTGAGTTTTTGAATCTCTAGTCTCTCTTGGACTTAAGAACGAACTATTATTGTGTATAATATAACAAATTTCATTGTTTGATTAAAACTTTAGTTTCAACGCAGTATCAAATAAAGACTAAAGAATACTTAGTTTCTATTAAAAACTTTAACTTAGATACAGGTAACCTATGTATGTTTGCTCGAGTAGTGCAGTGGGTAATAAAAATCTAAACTTCAGAACTCAGTCTTATTTACTCTAACATAAGTTCTATATTTTCTTATCAAATATCATCTGTGTAATTCAATAAAGCAGGTGTTGGATTATAACACTAAATGGCCACAATGTCCTGCTTCCTGCAGCTGCTCACAAATTGCGAGATTGGTACGATGACACATTCATTCGAAGAGTCCCTTTGATTTCAGAACAAAGAAACAATTGAAGATTTTTATCTGTTCTTTTGACCTTTGGTCATTTCCTTATTAGATTTGGTTTGTGAATCTCTTAGCCACATGGTGGTAGCAGAGAAGAACATATTTGTCACCACTTTTGCTCTTCTTGCGGGGATATGGTAAAATTTGACTGCATTTAACAGGCACCAGGGAGCAGTTTTTGATAAACCTGCGTCTTTTATTATGTTTTTTTTTATGGGATAAGCCGGTAAATGAGCATCCGGATCACCTGGCGGTAAGCAATCGGCACCACCCATGGACACCTGAAACTCCTGAGGTGTTACAAGTGCATTAGCGGCCTTTTGGAAATTTGGAATTTTGGGTATTCAGGAATTGGAGAGACTGGAGAGGGGGTGGTAATTGGGCCTCCGGTAACCTCACTTACACGACGAAACACAACGCAAGCGTTGCTTCATGTCGGTTGTCTATGAGATATCGCTCCGGTCGATCCGGCCCATTCGTGCCGAAGCATGGCTCTCCCACACTTAAAACCGACCGATATCTTCAACCCGCTTGCTATGTGTGGAGATTATGGACTGTTTTATATAGAGGAGGTGCATAGTCCATCAGTCTACAGAGTACAGTAAAGTGCATGCTTCGTCCAGTATTAGGTATGTAGAGGCGGCCAAGCCTAGTGAAGGGTTGTAGAATTTGATCTTCATAGCAAGTATAATAAGTAATTTTGAGATGAAAATGTGTTTGATGAAAATAATATCTTATAAGGTAAGTACCTTTTTTATCCTACAAGATTTTATTCAGCGTTTCCTACATGCACCATTTTAGTCAAAAATTCAGCGTAACTTTTGCAATTTTCTGTTAAATTCGACGTTAGCGTGAGCTGTGTTGCCAATTTTAGCCGCAACGGCTATAAAATAGACTGTGGTCCAGTAAATAGCCGTTGTATTTACAATTATTTAGTATTTTCAGCAATTTTCAGCGTAATTAGTCCTGTGACGTAGTGTATTCGCGTAGTGATTAATTTTTACTCAGAATACAGTTTGAATAATGTTACTAAAGTTAAAATTAGTTTGTTTTTGTGGTTTATAGAAGTTTTTGTGGAACTATTTTCACAGTTTTCAGGGACAAATGTAATTAAATTGAAATTGTTATTTGGGACTTTAGTCATGTAACTTTTTGTTACTAGTTTAGGTATTGGTTGAGTCTAGAAACTTGGCAGGGGCTAGTGCCAATCAAAAGGTCGCGGATTCGATATTTGTGTCGAATAAAGTATTTATTTATTGGTTATAGAAGTTTACCATTTGAACACAATGATAGACCAGTAACTATAATATTAGAAGGTATTAATATTTAAAAATATACGTATAAAATTTCCTTGACTGACAGCTTCTATGATTGAAAAATAAAAAAGTCCACGAAAGTTTAATTCCACACGTTTCGGAACATTTCGTTTTTTTTGCATGGTATTATAGAAATTGTGGAAAATATGGAAATTGGCTCCAATTTGCTTGAAACGTAGTTACGATATGAGTCTCCAACATACAAATACGAATATGTATGAGACCGAGGATCGTCATTGTAACATCATTTTTTTACAAACTTTTTCAATATTAAACTTTCATACCTAACTGTATTTTTTTCCAATTTTAGTCTCAATGTAACTGCCTCAGGACCATTAGACCTAATTTTAATTCATTCAATGATTCTTCTGTACTACAATTTCGCTTTTTAATAGCGGTAGCTTGAAGCTAACACTTTAGACAACATAACTTGTCAGTTCTAAGTTTAATGTAATACAGGACCTAATACGCCTATTGCTCTCATCATCATCAACAGCCTGTAAGTAGCCACTGCCGACCAAAAGTCTCTTCTAACACGGAGAACGTTTGAGCATTAATCACCACGCTTGCTCAACACAGGTTCAAGATTTCACACTTATAATTACAAATTATAAACCCAGGTTTCCTTATGATGTTTTCCTTCACAACTCGCACACTTATGCATGAGAAGCGGGCAACTAAACCTCTGGGCACTACGAAACTAGCCTATTGCCATACATTGGGCATAATATCAGACCTCGCTATTAGTAATATACATTTACGAAAAGCCTATAAATTCCCAATAACTTTTGGCCCAACCTGAAGATCGAACCCGGCATCCCTTGCTAGGTCGCACTAACGACCACTTGATGCAGTAAAAACATGAATAACAATAAAATCTACATCTTATTACTTTATAATCGACGTCTCGCTCTTAAACATTAAATAATCTTCGAAATACTATCCAGTGACGTCACATGCCAGCTCATGCGTGACCCCAGGGCAGTGGGGCAATGGCCAATTGACCTCAAGACATTTGTCAGGCACCCCGACACTGTAGGATTTACTATAAGTAATGTGCTCAATTGAATTCATTTCTCGTGTGAACTGGATTTGGGGTAGGCAGACATTAAGAATTTAGGCAGAGGTATACATTACTATTTACGTTATAAGTCCCATGTAATAGGGGGTGAGCCTATTGCCATATACCGGACACATTTCCAGACTCCGTGCTACTACTGAGATTTTTTTTAAAAACCCCGTTCACTATGCCCGACCCTGGAATCGCACCCGAGATCCCTTAAGCGGCAGTCGCACTTGCGACAGTTCAACCAACAAGGCAGTCAATGAAGATTGCTAAAGATAGTCTGCCGATATGATAAGAAAGATAAATGATAGTCTGCCGATATTATTCTTCACTCAGTTATGTCTCATACATCAAGGTTAAACTGTCAAATACCAAGCGGTCACCGGTGACCGCAACCTATTGTTCTATAATTGTGTCTGCAAAACCGGTACTCGACGAGTTAATACGCAATACGCAATGTTTTGTTACTTGTTTCTGTGTATTCTTATATGTAACTAGCATCTGCCACCGGTTTCACTCGCGTTCCCGTGCGATAATAAGTACCTATGCGTCATTCCAGACCATAACCTACACCTGTTTCAAATTTTAACCAGATCCCTTCAGCCGTTTTGTCTTGAAGGTAAGTAACAAACAAATGAACAAACAAACAGACATATTTAAACTATAGCATTTATTATAAGTAGGATGACCACAATCTGGCCTGGAAGTCAGCAATGATGAGGGCTAAGATGAAGCACAGATGCCTATAACCAGGTTAATTTACAACGTTTTATGATAACGAGGGGAAACCTTCAAAAAGACGCCTTTTTTTAAGGGGGGACAATCATCGAATGACTGCACCCGCCCGGTAGAGGCGGGAGGGAGTGTCAGACTCGTACTGACTAAAAACTCACCCCCTTCCTTCTCCTGCACGTCGCCCGCCCGGACCCCGGTAACCCGTTAGGTTCTCCGCGACTTAAAAAGACGCCTAGCTTTTTTGGGGATATATATAACGTAGTTCACGCTAAAAATAACAGTTATTATAACAAATAACAACACGTTTGTATTACTCAGAGAATGTTTTCATTATCTGCTTTAAAGTTTTCAAGGAAATAACAACACTTTGACTTACTCAGAAATGGAACAATGATGAACCAACAAGGTAGCTATGTCGGTAACAATGGTCCATCAAATTAATTACTTTAACAAATTGTACGGTGGCTATGTATCAATTACTGTTACACGCAACATACACTATTACTTTACATAAGTACTCTATTATATTAACTGCCAATTTTCATGAACACTTACATACATCATTCATATCATACATCAACAGCCTAAAGTGCCCACTGCTGACCAAAGCCACTTCTCAAACGGAGAAGGTTTGTTAAACCTTATTGCAATGCGGCACTAAGGCCACTGTACAATGTAACACCCACTTTTCACTATTAAATTATGTTATGACAACATAACA